GTAATCATTATAAACAATATCTTCATTGGTACTACACATTATTTGAATAAAGGAAACATTATCTCTACTTTCAATAATTTTTTTGGCATTGGTCATACCATAGAGATAATAGAACATGTTTTTCTCTATGGTCATCTGTCAAAATATAGCTATCGATCTTCTTCTGACAGTGCATCATTATTATGGAACCAGCTCCCATATTTATTAAGGACGCAACGTCCCTGACTACTGTATGTTTATTTCATACCTGCATGGTTTAAACAGTATTTACACAAGAAAAAAAAAACAAGTTTAAATTACCTTAAACATCATATACTATATATGTAACAAAATCTAAAACGTTATAATTATCAGATTTTTTCCAAAAATCATTAATTTTATATTAACAGCCGTTACCCGGGCTCCCGGATTGTATGCACTGTCTACCTGTAACCTCACTAGTCTACTTGTGACATCAGTTTAATAAAACATTGATTGGCTTTCGGAGTGTAGCTTTACCAAATTCTCCTCCACTGCTGATTGTTTACATGTCAATAACTCCTCGACTCGTGAAAAAAAAAAGTTGAAACTAAAAACCAGTACATCTAATAATTGCTGTTTCCTGTTTTGTTTCATTGTCTAGGTACGTGGCCAAGATACAAAAACACGAATAGATCGGTCAATAATAGTTTATACATTTTCGAAATGCAGCAGAAATGCTGTAGGTAAACAAAATTATAAAGGGACGAATTTCGACGACCCATCAAAATCCAACAAGCGCAATAGGCGCGCTAATTCGAGTCTTTGTCAAGCAGGCCTAGGCCCCTCACCTACCATAATCTGATTCCAATTCTGGCCTAACTGCCTATAAACATAAGACGAGTTTGAATATTACACAGGGCCTGACCTGTGGCATTTAATGGTAAGATTATGTGCTATGGATTTAAATATTCGGATCTAATTCATAAAAGTAATATACTATTGATAATGAAAGTTTTTGTATCTTCTCTGTTTTTATTTATTTTTTATTTATTTTATTCCTTCCAGCTGTAGAAACATTACCATATAGAAATTGAAAGAGAACTGCGGAGAGGCAAAGGCGGTGACAACTACTATCACCAAAGGCGTGCCTCTCCAACTCCTACTTCCAATACAGACATAAAGAGACTGAAACCGATCATTCCCTTACAAAAAAATGTTTTAAGAACTTTTATAGACCTTCTATACAGGCTAATCAATTTCTACAGAAATTAGTATATTCTATAAAATTGTTTTATAGAGGAACTAGTTTCTATAGAATTCTATAACATTCTATAATACACATATTTAATGTAATTTCTATGATTTTAATTTTTTTTTTGTTTCATTCAATATTTTATTGACACATTCGTGTCTGACCAGTGTAGTCCTACCAACATGTTTTATATCTTTCATATTCTATAGAAATTCTATAGAATATTCTATACAAGGGGTATGACAAGTTCTCTATAATAAAACTATAAAATTTCTATATTTATTCTATAAAAAATTATAGTCCTTACCTGTATTATTTTTAAAGTATTATATACATTTTATAGGGAATATCTCTATAGGAATATATAAAATATATATAGAGTATAACATATAAGAAATTTCAAAATAAATATACTTTTTTATATTATATTCTGTAGAACTATATAATATTCTAAACACAGTCATTTTAAAAATTGTAACTTTTAATAGTCTATATAAAATATATTTAAAAAGTGGAAACGTTTATATTCTGTTAAATTGTTTCTCTATAGGAAGTATATATAAAATGTATACGAACGCTATGGAAATGTTTATCTGTAAATAAAATATTACAAATTATTTTGAAAATTATAACTATAAAAAAAATATGTATAGAATATATATATCAAATATATTTAAACTCTATGAAAAAGTTCTGTAACCGCTACATTGGTAGCTTAATGGAAACTTTAGGGAGGGGGCGGGGCTGTAGTCCCCTAAATTTATCCCTCACCTATTCACCTAACAACAATGCAGGGTTGACAGCAAAATGTTATCAACAGCCTCACCTGTTTACTGTGACAGCCCACCCACCAACCATTTAAAGTTAGTGTCGAATTGCACAAATCTGATTGGTCACTTCATCAAGTGATCAAACAGCTGATTTGAATTGTCACCTTATGTAGAGCCAACGGAAGCGGTAGTATTTTAATTTTTCTCTGGACTTTCATGATGTTAGGCAGTTATAAACATACTCCTTGGAAGTATATTAGCATTATTCAATATCTTAGTGGGAAGAGTTGGTTTTGTTTTATTACTTTAGTTAATGTTGTTTACTACTCTAGCAGACACGCTAATCCCCTAGGCCTACTAGCAGTAGGCCGGCCTAGCCTTGGGCCTAGGCCTAGTAGTAGTTGTAAAGTAAGTAGTAGGCCTCATACTAGGCCTAGTAGTAGTAGATGAAGGCTTCAATGAAGAGGCCTAGTCTAGCCTAAGGCCTAGCAAGGCATAGCTATGCCTTGCTGTACGGTTATACTAGCCCGCTGTACAGAGACAGAACTGAGTTTCTCTGTTCTCTCCAGGCAACCATCTATCCTCATTGAGGATATAGGCATAGGGCTAGGCCTCGAGCCAAGCTGTAATTTAATTGCCCCATAGTCTAGCAATGCCATAAGAAACGTGGTAAATTGCATTTATTAGGCCGTGCCCTCACTAATGTTAATGATGCTTTAATAAAATAATGGGTTTAAAGTTAACCGGGGCGGAGGGGGTGTAAAGAATTGTATCATTATTTGCAGAAAGTTAATTTAATCTCTAGGCCTATACTAACATAAATGGTGATTTTATTTCAGGATACAAGTCTTCTGTAATTGAAAACTCTATCCGGTCAACTCAACCTTGTAGTAGGAAAGCGTTAATGATAATACTGACGTATCAGTGAAGGAACAGAAAATTACCTGACATTTTAAGGTGAATATACGTTAATGTTTTGTTTACGTTTTATGTTTATTGTCCTATACTATTATTAACAACATGCTATAGATGATGCTCTAGTTACATGATATTAATCAAATAATCAAATTTAATGTATATTAGGGCTATATAGGCCTAAAGGGATATTGAAATTGTAATGTAGGCCTGTGCTGTTTTGAGAACTAAAAAAACTGGAACTGATAATTTTCTTTTCATTACAAAAGAAGTAACTGCTAGTCTCTTATTAGCTACAAATATGTATATTACTCCTATTTCTATACAGTAATTCCAAAAGGATATACAGTAATACATTTAATAGAGGTTTCTATAATATACGCTCTATATACTGTATAAGTCGACCATTATTATTCTTTTTAAAAGATTTTGTTTTGTTATATCTTTCAGCAAGAGTGAAACTCTGAAAAATGTTAGTACAAGTCACTGTGATTCAATATTTCAAACTAGATTTGTTCAACGGCATAATTCATACTAATTTAGCTTGCAATATCACAAAGAATGCTGGTTTATGCACACCTGTAACACAAATGGTTCTTCAATATTGTTTTATATCATAAACTCTTGTGATACTTTGATACATGATAGGACTACATTATGGAAAAAAATGCTTATTTAAATAGGATTGTACAGTAAAGCAAAGAACTGTAGATAAGCTTTGAATTTAAGGTACTGTTAAACGATTCTATAGTTTAACAGTAAGACATAAGCAAAACGATATGTGAAGGTGTATCTAGTAAATGAGACCCTAGGGAAGTAATGTACCTACCGTATGATGTTTGTTGGTGTTTTTAAGTTAATTAGTTAATTAAAGCCATTGTTTCTAATTTGCTACAAGGAATTGAGACCGTGGAAAGTTATGCCAATAAAGACAAGTTGGAACTGGGATGTGACCAATTAAAGACCAGTTGGAACTGATACCATTGAAAATCAATTGGAATTGGGGCCAGTTGAAGACCAGTTGAATTGTCCAAAAAACACACAACACCCACATTTTTTTTTATAGAATACACAAATTTCCTATAGAAATTCAATTTATATACACTTTCTATACAATTGTATTGAATTTCTTTTCACATATTGAATGTATTTTTTTATAGTTTTTTTCTATAAAATGTTTTTAGATTTATAAGAGGTTTTTATAAAATTGTTTATAGTTTTTCTATAGTTTTTAAAAGTTTTTTATATAAAATTTTCATAGACTTTTTATAGTGTTTTAATATATTTTTATAGTTTTTTTAATAGACTTTCTATAGATTTTTAAGTCTTTCATTAGAGTTTAAATAGATATTTAATAGAATTTTTATAGATTTTTAATCGAGTTTTAATCGATTTTTAATAGAGTTTTTATAGATTTGTAAGTGTTTATACATTTATAAAAGGTTTTTTTAAAAATTGTTTATAGATTTTCTGTAGTTTTGAAAGGTTTTTATATAAAATTTTTATAGACTTTCTATAGAGTGTGAATAGAATTTCTTAGATTTTTAATAGAATTTTTATAGATTCTTTTAATAGAGTTTTATTATATTTTTAATAGAGTTTAGTAGATTTTAATAGAGTTTTAATATAGTTTTTATAGTGGGCTTCTATAGCTATTTCTATAGTATTTTTTATTGATTTTCTAAACAATATATATACTATAGACATTCTATAGTTTTTTTGGGATAGAATTCTGTATACTTTTTTTGTATGGGTTGCACACACACACACACACACCCCTGACACAAAAATTAATAAAGTAAGCCAATAAGAACCAAATAAAATTCCCCCTAACTCCCCCATCAATAAAAAAAAAATTCGGAATGATAATTATTTAGTTTACAATCAAATGTTAAAAACAATGTTATTATGATAGTAGTACTGTACTTAGAAAATAAGCTTAACACAGACCAAAAATATCGCACATTAAAAAAAAATAAATTCAACAAATATCGTAATTAAATCTAAACATTTAGGCAAGTACAATAAAATTATATTAAAAAAAAAAAAAAAAAAAAAAAAAAAAAAAAAAAAAAAAAAAAAAAAAAAAAAAAAAAAAAAAATCAAAATTTTATTTTACAATTAGATGTGTTAAAAAAAATTATTGTAATTGCATTAGTATAAAAATAATACAGTATTAAAAATAAATAAACTTAACATAGACCTACTAAATATTCCAAATTTAACAATAGGTGGACAGAAATCTTAACAGTTGAGCAAGTGCCATCAAGTTATTTTTAAAAAGTTCATAATATATTTATTTTTATATAAAAAATAAAAGAAGAATATAATTTCAAGAGGATTGAGTTTGAACAGCTCTTAGCTACAGAACGTATGAACCATAGCATTTTGAACGATTTGGAAGCCACATTTTCTACTTCCTTATTCCAAGATAAATAAAACTAAATCATAGCATCAAGAATATTTACATGTTTTACGTTTTTGAGACATTGATCATTTAATGAATATTCCAATATGTTTGGATTACGCCGAAAAGCAATTGACAAAACTTGATATTTACTGAAGTTTAATTCCGACTATCTTTGTAAACGATTTTGTCTTGTAAAATATATATATCATTCACCGAATAAGTGCACCTAGAGATAAAAGTATCGTCAGCATACTGTAATTGTTTGTTGTTGAATTACGATATAAGTCACTCACGTAAATGTTTAACAAAATATGCTCAGGCTTGATCCTTGTGGAATTCCTCATGAAAGCATAGTCCAAGAAGAGCATTTCCCTTGATAAACAACGCATTGTAGTCTATTTTTAAAGCTAACTCCTTCCCATAAATGATCCTAATCAACCTAGAATATTACCTATAATTTCTTTTTATTATTTATGCAATATGTTTATTCCCAATTACTCTATTCACAATTACCTCACCCGATCTAGAACTCATATTCACATATCTTCCCTCAACAATAATTATTTTCAACATAACATTAGAAATTCAGGGCATTCAATGATGAACAATCTCCCACCGCCAATTTTTAATGATATTCTCTTAGAACATTTCTTAAAGAAAATCAAACTACACCTAATTTCAAACTATTAAACTATTTTATCCTCAGTCATATTTCGATTTGTTCTGTATTTAAATGAACTACAGTCGTTATGTATTTACTTACAGTATTTATTTTTTCTTTTTTTATTTATTATTTATTTGTTTTTTCCTTTGATTTCGTTTTTACGATTGTTCCAACTTTTATTTACTTTATGGCATGTCCAGCACAAGACCTTTATCTTCTTTGGATTATGCCTTCTTCCATAGCTTGTTTTCGTCTTTATCTTATATCATATTGCATTGTATATTTTGTGTGTTCTATGGAAGTAAATAAATGTCTTTTAAAATGAAAAAAATAAAAATAAATGAACTCCGTCCATTTGTTTCATCTTTCCCCTAAGGATTGTATACGATATCAAATCAAAAGCATGAGATTAGTCAAAGGAAACCACGTCTATCCGTCAATCAAGATTAAGAGTCCACGACGTAATTGCCTCTGCAAGTAGTGTATTGCAAGATTTCATTTTTGTAAAAACAATTTGCCAGCTATACATATAAGGTCATATTCGTTAAGATGGTAAATTAGATCGTCCTCAACAAGACTATCAAACATGTATTGCAAAACAGTGACGTCAAGGCGACAGGCCTGCAATTTTTCAATTGTTGCTTGTCTTTTTTTAATAAATTGATACGATGTTCGCCTGTTTACACGCTAGTTCACCACTCAACAGGCTATAATTAAAACTATCGGCAAGGAGACGACTGATAGTAAAGGCACACAGTCGCAGCATCATGCATGTTACTCTGTCAAGACATTTGACCTTTTGACTGAAGGTATTTAAAGCCCCCTTCCAGGAAATGTTTGATCTCTTAGAAAAATCTGATTTTTATAATGTTATAAAGATATCTAAATATAATACAGAATTGCTAGTTTAATTGGATTTAGACATTCCTAAACATGTAAACAAATGTGAAATAAGGCTGAACTTTTTAAATAAAAATAAACACGAATGAATTTTTATGTTTGATTTTGTGATAGGTCTGCAAAGAAATACAGTAGGCGCCATAAACATTAGCCTGGAAACAATGCTAGGCCATATTTTTGAGCATTTTTTTAGAAAGAAATTGGCGGTTAATAAAGATATGCTCTGAGTGCTATTGTTATTATTGTTATTATTAGGCCTTAAAATTGTTTGTTTGCTGTCACATTGTAAATATTTAAGTGAAGGGCGGGTGGAAAAAAGTTTTTTTTTTTGTTTTCTTTAAAAGGAAGATTAACAAAATGGTCTGTATAGAGGTTTGTAAAAGATGAGGGGTGGGATAAAAAAGGTTTGTTTTTTTTTTGTTTTTTTTTTAAATGTAGAAATTGAAAATATGTACACTATAGGTCTCCTTGCAATTTGGGGCTTATTTTTTGTGGCTTGGGATTGAAGACGGATCTGTAATTGCCGTGAGACACATGAATATAATATACTACTGCACTATGTATAAGGTCAAGCTAACCAGCTTCATTTACTTATTAAATGTATTGACATTGATCCTGTTGGTATCTCAGCACTTGTGTATGATTTGCGTTAAGTATGTTTTTATTTAATTTTATGTGTAAGTTAGAATTCTAATGAATTAATTAATAAATGCACATGCAAACAAAAAATGCACAAACTTCCTTCAATTTTTTTAAGCACTTTTATTGTGAACAAATATACTAGTATGGAACAGTGAATGTATGTTGACATTTAAACAAACAACTCTGTGATAGGGTGAATCCATCATATTTCATCTTGCAGCACTCATCACTTATGACGCTAGTGCGACGTCGGGCTTTCCTTCCCCATCACAAATGGGCTGGACGACTTTGTATTTTATGACAAGTTCCTACGACCTTGATCCGTTTTCTTCGCCACAATAACAGCAGGTTAATTGGTTGCCGACTTGTCCTGAGTAGAATGCAAACTCTATGTGGTTTGCGCAATTAACACCTCTGCATACAAAGACCTACAAATAAAAGTATAGTTTTGGTGTATAAAGGTTTGCATGGTTTAACAATAAATCCGCCAAAATGGCTTATGGGACAGTGTCCTTTTATTCCATGAAACAACACAAAACAACTCTATATTTTTTATGTCATTGTCTTCTCCCAAATTTCTTAAAATCTAAGCAGCTTACCTTCTTGTATAGTCGTACTCCTTAACAGCCACCTCAAGGTCCATTAACTGTTGTATAGATATCTTCTTCGGCTTCATGCAATAAACAACACGTGGCTTGTTGCACTCCATGCAGCGAATGAAGGTCCTGGCCCTCTGTGCAAAAAACATGCCTGTACTGGATCCATTTAAACAACAATTATTACAATTTGTAGAATAACTGTAATGTTTCTGTTTGGTATTCCTTTCTTTAACTCAATGTACATCTGACAGATAAAATTTCAATACTTTAAACTCAGCCGAACATTTATAAAAATACTTGTTATGTCCTGTGAATAGATTTATTTTTCTGACTTTAAAAATTGAATATTGAAAGTAAAAAAGGTCAGACTGAAAAAATGGCCTAGGCATACGCCGAATGTCAACCGCCGTCGCTGATCTAAAACTCTGAACACAGAAGTCACTGCATCGTTAGCACGAAAAAAAGCCTAGGTCTATGCAACAGTGTAGGCCTAGGTCTATTACTAGGCCTAGGCTTAAGTGTTTTTTTAACGATACATGAGAGGCAAGTTCATTGTTATCTTAGATTAGGCCTAGGCCAAGAGGTCTATGCCAAGAGGCGTACGATTCGTAAAGAAGGAGAGGAGGCGGTATTCAACGCCTAAGCAGGACAGAAAATAAATTGTGAAAAATCATTAAAATTAAATTAATATAAATAAATTACTGTACTCACCATCACCACATTTCTTGGATGGTAGCGCTCTACGCCCACTACCTTCAAATAGCATAGAAAATGCATTTTGCTGTTGGTTGACTTGTGCTTCCAATACAGACATTAATATAATAGAATTGTACATGCGACATCGATAGCGATTGCATGACAACAACTTCAACATGCTCGATTTCATGCCATGGTCCGTTTAAATCAGCGGCTATGAAAACATCTCCAAGAACTCCAGCGTCCATTTTTAAAGAATTGAAAGCATCTAAGGAAGTCATCGTCGTTTTAAAACGAGAAACACTAACCATACTTTAACTTTCTCCTTAAACAAGTTACAAAGAGCAACAACCGACATTTTGACACCTTGCGTAGGCCTAGTCATAGTAGTATTACAGTACCAACAAAGAGTTTGGTACGAACCACGAGGTAAGAAAAGTTTAGAATTAACCAAGCGTGAAACGGTCGAAACGGGCGTGCTATAAAACCAGCGGTCGTGTAAAATCAAAATCCCTGTCGAAAAAAATGGTCTTTTTAACTTAAAAAAAAACCCTTACGAAAAAAACAAATCCCCGCCCCTCATTTTTAGAAATTTAGGGGCGGCGGATGACGGCGAACAAGTTTTTTTTAGGCCTTATTGTTGTTTTCGTTGTCGTTACCTGATATTATTTAAAAGATAGTATTTAAAAAAAATAAGGTGTCAAGCATGATTAAATTTAGCTATACCTTCATTCAAATGATGGATACAATAAAGAATATGCACTTGCTTTTCTTGCTTATATCTTTAATATACTCAGTGCACTTGACCCTAAACAATTATCTGGTCAAACCGGTTAATTTTCACGAACAGCTTTAATATTTCAGCTCCTGTCATTTCACAGTCCATTTCTTTAATTTCCAATTATTGCATTGAACATTGAGATTTATCTTCAGAAAAGAAAGTTGCTGTCGCTGTGCCTATTATAAAAAGGCCCCCTTCTATTTATGTAACTACTGCCTAATTTTAATTATGCCATCCATGTTATCGTTACCATTGTCGTTATTATTATTGTCGTTATTATTATTATTATTATTATTATTATTATTATTATTATTATTATTATTATTATTATTATTATTATTAGTGGTAGTGGTAGTGGTAGTGGTAGTGGTAGTGGTGGTAGTAGTAGTAGTAGTAGTAGTAGTAGTAGTAGTAGTAGTAGTAGTAGTAGTAGTAGTAGTAGTAGTAGTAGTAGTAGTAGTAGTAGTAGTAGTAGTAGTAGTAGTAGTAGTAGTAGTAAGTAGGAGGACCAGCAGCAGCAGCAGCAGTAGCAGTAGTATTAGTAGTAGTAGTAGTAGTAGTAGTAGTAGTAGTAGTAGTAGTAGTAGTATTGGCTTTTCTCAGCAGTACTGGGAAAAGGCATTGTTTTTTCTGGTTTTTTTTTTTTCTTTCTTTCTTTTTCCCTGCATATATTTTTCATGTCTTTTTGCACAATTTTTTTCTGACCGTCACTTTGGTCACTTCCCATGCCTAGAATTTTCCCGTGCTTTGCCGAAGCATAGATAATATATCAATGATGTGCCTCCTAATATTTAGTGTCAATCTATGATAGGGTGTGCGTCTGAGGATCAATTAAACTGATTTAAGGTCAAACAGTCTACCCCTGATATTTTAAAAACCGGTCCGTTGATCTGAATGAACCTTACAGGAATGTTTAATCAAGTTATAAGGAAGAAATTGGTATGTGTTAATGACGATCCAGTAAAAGGTGTACATTTGAGGGTCTTTTCAATTTTTGAGGACCCAGACCTAGATATCTGTTTAAAAAAAAGTCAATAGGTCTAAATGAAACGTTCTGTAATACACTGTAAAGGTCTTGTAAAAATATGATTAAATTTTTGTGACGATCCGTAGTATGGTGTGGATCTGAGGACCATTTAAAGGAAAACCTCCCAGACCACATATTTCGAAAATGGATCAACTGAACCGAATGAAACATTCAGTAAAGGTTTAACCAAGTTAAAAGGAAGAAATTATTATGTACTGACGACGAATCAGTCAAGGGTGTAATAGGAAGGTCATTTCAATTTTTGAGGACCTAGACCTGAATATCTCTTTAAAAAAATAAATGGTTATAATTTAAAAGGTCAAGTAAAGAAATGATTAATATTTTTAGAGTGTAGATCTGAGGACCATTGAAAGAAAAACGTCCCAGACCAAATTATTTCGAAAACGGATCAACTAATCTGAATGAAACATTCGGGAAAAGTTTAACCAAGTTACAAGAAAGATAGTATTATGTGTATGCAATCAGTCAAAGGTGAATATTGGCGGGTCATTTAAATTCTTGAGATCCCAGACATAAATATCTATAAAAAGTTTTTAATGGGTGTAAATGTAACTTTCTATAATAGTTTGTAAAGGTCGAGTAAAGAAATGACTGAAGTTTTGTGATGATCTTGTGTAGGGTAGATGCGAAGCACCCAGCGCTTGTGTCAAGCAGCTATATTGCTCACATATATATGCTGCATTCTCCTTCCCTATTGGTTGTTGGTTGTCCACTAATGCATTTTACTTTAATTATTGGCTTAAAGTTTTGTATCGTGATGTGTATTTATTTTGAACACTTGTTTTTTAGCTACCTACCTAATTTTCTCTAAGCACCTCCATTTGCTTTTCTTGTGGGAATATTGACTCTATCTCCCTGTGTGTGTGTTTACTCTTGTTTACAGTAACCTGGCCTAGCTGGTCTATTGTTTCTGATTGATATGGTAATTAGCTTGTTCTCAATCTGTGCTGGTTTCATTCATCCTTTCCCCATTTTGTCTACTTGATTGACATGGTAATAAACTTCCTTGTTCAATTAGTGTGTTTTATTCATGTTAGCCTAACGGCTATTACTTATATTGCTAAGGAGATTCTTGACTTGATGTGTTTTCCAGCAAACTTATTCCTGATTTTGATGACATTAATTCCTTAGGTTTACTTTAAATGCGTGGTAAACGTAGTGGTCGACACTGTCGTCCTCGTCCAATTAACAAGATATTTAGTCTAAGGCATTTGAATTCTCATTCTGCTGGTAATAAAACCTGGTATATTTGTGACTATGTGATTGAGCATTCAGTAGATTCAATGGTCATTACTGAGTCATAACTTCCTAAATGATTCTAACACTTGCGGTGGGGGGATTTTTATTCTGTCTAGGAACCATCTCAAAAATTTTGCCCTTCGATCTACAGTCTGAATTTGTGACTTTTGAGCATGCCATCATCACTGATGCCTCTCGAAAATCCTTCTTTGTCGTCATTTATCGTCCTACGCCATCTAGGAGAAACCACTTCACTTCCAAATTTGAGTGTGAATTTGAAGAATTCATTGAGCAGGTTCATCTGCTACCTGGTAAGTTGTTTTATTTGGAGATTTTAACGTCCACTTTGACTGCCCATAAAAACGCATGTTGCTACTATTAATGCCCACCTTTCATCGGCTGGTCTTGTTCAGCTTGTTATTAAATCCACACATGATGCTGGACACACTTTAAATCCTCTTATTGTCAGGTCTCATGATGTTCAACTTGTTGATGTCTTTATCCATCAGAACTATCACTCTGACCAATCTGTTTTTTGTGCTAATATTGACTTTACTAAGCCGGAAGTTGCTCCCAAAACTATTTCTTATCGCCTTTTAGGTATAATAGACCATGAGAAGATTTAGCTTGACTTGACCTCCGATTTTTCACCCTTATTGGCTGGTGATGATTCTGCGAATGACATGACTATTGGTTTTTCGTCTGCCTTATCTAAATGTCTCAACCAAGCTGCACCCATGATAACCAGGATCCTGCATGGTATAATGAAGAGATTGTGAAGGCACGTCGTTATTGAAAAAGTATCAATGATTCAGCCTAATGCTTATTTTACTTCGAACAAACTTTTTGAAAACTTGCAGTAGGCGTATCATCCACTCCATAGTACAGAAACAGCATTACTAAAGGTGTATACTGACATTGCTGTCTTGATTGATAAACATTGAGGTGTCTTGTTGGTCTTGTGCGATTTGTCAGCTGTGTTTGACACGGTTGACAATAAGAACTTTACTTATCGTCCAAATATTTCTTTTGGATTTTCAGGATATGTCCTAAGGTGGTTTGAATTCTATCTCACCAACCGGAGTTGTCGTGTCTGTGTCGATGATAATTACTCGGATCCACACTTATTTACATTTGGGGTTCCACAAGGGTCGGTAGTGGGTCCTGCTCTATTTAGCCTATATATCGGTCCGCTTAGAGACATCATCAGGCGTCATTGTATTAAATATTATTTTTATGCTGATATGCAACTGTATCTGGATTTAGATCATTCTAATATCCCTCTTCTGTTGATCAGGCTTTGGATAGGCTTAGGTTATGTATCAAGGATATTAAGATTTGGATGGCTAAGACTATGCTTAAACTTAATGACAATTATACTGAATTCATTGTATGTGGTTCCAAGAGGAACTTAGAGCTTGATCACGTTAGACAGGCTCCTCTGACACTCTGTCTGTAATCTTGGGGTCACATTTGATTCCGCGCTGTCAATGTCTATTTAAGTTTAGTAAATCGACCAAGTACCATATACGTAACTTATGGAGGATTTGCAAATTTATCGACTATGACACCTGTCAAGCAGCAGTTCGTGCATTTGTTTTATCTAAAATTGATTACTGCAATTCATTGTACTCTGAGTTGTCTGTAACAGATTCTCTAAAATTACAGAAGTTGCAGGATTCTGCTGCACATCTAATTTTTAACATTTGATCCTCTCATACTCACACATCACATCTTCTCCGTGAACTTCACTGGCTGCCTTTTAAGCAAAGGGTTTATTTCAAATTAATGCTTCTTGTTTTCTAGTTACTGTTTGGCCTATGTCTACAAAATATTTCTGACGTTTTAAAGCAAATTCGTACCAGATCAGCTTTGAATGTTAATTTCCATCAACCTATCTTTAAAAAGCGTATTGGTAACAAATCTTTTCCGTGCAAGGCGCCACTCATCTGAAATAACCTTACAGTGCAAATTCGATCTTCACCATCTGTGGCTGTCTTTAGGTCTAACTTAAAGACTAATTAACTAACTAATTATCAAATTTTTATTCTCATTTTATTTATTGTTGCATTATTTATTTATGATTCCAAACTTTTCCACTGCTTCTTTTGATTTATTTACTTGGTCTGTGCTTTGGTTAGGCAATGATCACGGCTGCTTGTAGGTTGTGAGGTGCCTAAATATGTGGGGTTAAGCGCTTCGTATCTGCAAAGAAAGGCGCTTTACAAATGTTCTGATTTGATTGGATTGGATTGGATAGGGTATGAATATGAGGACCCGTTAAAGGAAAACGTCCCAGACCAGATATTTCAAAAAAGGATCAACTGATCCAAATAAAATTTTCGGGAAAATTTAACCCAAGTTACAAGGAAGATATTTTTATGTGTACGGAACGATCCAGGTTAGGGTGTAAATTTGAGGATCATTAATTTTAAATCCTTACGTCCCAGTTATAGATGAATAAAAATGACACTTAGCAGAATAGTTTTTCATGGTAAAATGAAGAAATGTGGTGACGATCCGCAGTAGGGTGTGGATATGAGGGCCATTTAAAGATCTTTTGTTGACAATTGATTAAATTATTTCAACGCAATTTGTTTTTTTTACTTACTACCTTTTAACGACTTTTCTTTTTGTTGCAATTTAAACTTCATTTCTCATAAAAGCAATGGGGGAATGCCCTTATAGGGCTGTTGTTCAAACAGACATAGTAAGTCTAGTTATTATTATTATTATTATTATTATTATTATTATTATTTATTGATATTTTTTGTTCTTATTTTTATTATTTTCTTTATGAAGATGGTTCTCGTCCTTTTTTTTTATTAGCTACTGTCTAGTGACATTAAATCTTAGGCAGATTTTTTGGCC